CCCCCCCCCCCCCCCACGAGAAATAAATAAATTAAAAAAAAAACATTCTCAAATAATGTTTGATAAGCAATGACAAGATTTACAATTGGAGATTCAAGACGTACCTGGTTATGTACCAAAGGTAATCACTTGTATCTCGTGTGACATTGATCTGCTCCAGCAATCCAAGAGCTGTGATTGTCCCACGGTCTCCATAACTAGCAATATCTTCATCGTATCGACCTACTGAGTACAAGATAGAGCCAGATGGAACCATTTGCACATGTGATGTCTTTGCAACAACCTGTCCCACAACTTCATATTAGCTTCTCCATTATGTCTTCAACACCAAAACAACATAAATCTTTTCTTTCTTTTTTTTTCAAATACCGTGGCAGTGTTGAAAACAACGTTTCTGCAATCAGGAAGAATGCTTGTGGACCAAGCAGGTAGAGTGTAGTGCCGTTTATTGAACACTACTTTTGCAGGTGCGTTCATGTGATAGTTCGATAGGAACGCGACACAACTTCCTTTACCGGCAGAGAAAACATGAGCCTCCTCGTAGTTTCCTAGTTTCGTAACTTTGGGTTCAGAAGAAACTAAGGCACTTTCACATTGCTTGATTGCTTGGTGTAGCTGCTTAAGATGGCTGTACTTAGGTTCCTGGACTAACCCTGCATCATTGGGAGCAAAAGGAGTTCAAGTTAAATGTAAAAAAAGAGAGCTCCACAAAACTAAGTGTTAAGATCATGGTACCGTATTCATCGATGGGAGCATCATAATCATAACTAGTGGTGATAAATGGACCTCCTGCTGTGCGTCCAAAGTTTGTTCCTCCATGGTACTGTCACATAACCACACACATTAAGTAATTTATAACAGATTTTTCATAATGTTTGCGTTAACACGTTACCATGTAGTAATTAATATAGGATCCACCCTTTTGTATGAAACGTGTGACTCCAAATGCTAAATCTTCTACAGGTCGTTTTGGAATGGTTCCACCGAACTCTGTAAACCTTTTCGCCATCATAGTGAACAAACAACATAGAAATCAATACCCATTTCTCTCACAAGTTTTCTATATATTCACAAAGAAAAGCATTATTGTTTTTACCAGCCACTCCATGCTTCTGTCCACATTTTTGGCTTGTATGGTTTGTTTGGAGTGAAATAATCGCAGTAGAATCCGTTGCAAGCGTTAATCTACAAAGAAGAGATTAATATTAGAAGATAATTCTTATTAATCACACAAAAGATTGGTCTCACAATTGGATCAGGTGCATCATCTTCCTTGCACATCACCCACGGGACTCCAGTTTTTAAACCAACCGCCATTTTCGCAGCCCAATTAACGTATGAGTGACCAGCTGGTCCAAGCGCTTTAAGCTCAGGACCAAACTCATTCTCAATCTGCAATTCTCAAAGATACAAACCTTTTATCTTCAAAAGATCAAACAGGTAAACAAATGTTTTTTTTTTTTGTAAATTGGTAGTGTACCTGAGATAAGATGATAGGTCCACCTTGTGACGCGAAGAATCTATGGTCTTTCATCATCTGAACAATCTTCTGCGTGAAGCCTTGCATCGCAGCCTTAACAATACAACACATGTTACACTATATGAATAGCAAAAATTATACAGAATGTAAACATCAAATACCATAGTTTCATTTACCTTGAAGGGTCCATTATCTGATCTGAAGCTAATCCCAGGTACGTACTTCAACCAAACAGGAAACCCTCTACACGATTTTCAAGGGACAAGGAAAATTCAAAATTTAAAATTTAAAATTTAAAATTTGGACAATGAGACAAAAAAAAAAAAGTAATAAAAAAAAGTTTTTATTTTTCTTCATTTATTGAAGTATTACCCAAAATTCCATTCTGCACAAACGTAAGGACCGATTCTGAGATGAACATAAAGCCCCACGTCTTGTACTGTCTTAATGAATCTTACTAAATCGTATCTCCCTCTGAAATTGTACTGCAAAACAAAACCCGAATCTAGTTTCATACTAAGATTCAGACTTTAATAGGATCCAACAAGAATCTAATCTCAAAAAGGTTTTCACTTTGAATGGGATTTAGTAAGAAGAAGAAGATGAAGAAAGTTATACAGTGCCAGGAGAAGGTTCATGACCATTCCAGAAAACATAAGTGTCAATAACATCCAAGCCTCCATCTTTAGCCTTCTTTATAAGATCTTCCCACATCTAACAACACACACCAAGATCAAACAAAAAACAAAACAAAAACAACCATTTATTTCTGAGATTTGTTACCTCGGGGGTGCTTCTTGGGTAGTGGATGGAGCCGGAAAGGAGGATTCTACGGTGGCCATTAATGACAATTGCTTTATTGTCGTAGGTGATACTGCATTGGATCATGGCGGACCCAATTAGCATTGTTGTTAGCAAGAAACATAGGATCTTGGTGAGAACCAATGTGGTTCCCATTTTTTTTTTTTTTGAAAGATGAAGATTTGGAGTTGAGAGGGAAATAAATTCTTTCAAAACAAAACAACAAAAAAAGGAAGGAACGATCAGAGAAGAAGCAAAAACTCTGTGTTAAAGTGTCGTTGGTCTGATATATCTTCAGTTTCGCCTCCCACTCTCCACTAATTTTGTATATATAAACATAAAATAGGTGTGGTGAATTAGTTGAGAACAAAAAAATTAATTAATGGAACTATCCAAATAATCTAAACTAAGAGGTCGTATTACTTTATTTGTATTTAGCAAACAAAAACGTTTATTTTATGTACCGTGGAAAAAAATGATTCTTCGATATAAGTTTTTTTTTCTGTAAAAGGGCTTAAGTGTTTAAAGTATCTTGATTAAGAGATTTAATGGTTGTTCTGAATGAGAAAAGAATTACTTGAAACTAAATATTTTATGTCTGTGCATTTCTCTTCATGAACTATGTAACAATGTGTATATCACTATGAATCGAACATAAATTAAGAGAAAAAAAAACAATTTGAACTTTTGAATTGTGGGACTACAAACTGGATGTTGTCATCATTTTAAACGAGTATAGCTAAAGAAATTGAACAACAATTTTGCCATTCATAAAAATCGAACCTAGACAAAAGAAAATATAAACACATTTAACTTTTCAGCCAGAACAACATATATATATATATATATATATATATATATATATATATATATATATATATATATATATATATATATATATATATATATATATATATAATAGTAGCTAGTGTAAAAACAAGAATACTAAAAAACTAAGTCAACAATAGCATAAATCATTTGACTTACTGAACATCTATACTATTAAAACAAAACTTCTATTAGAATTGTGTCTTTTATTTTTTTTTAAATACAAAATATGCCATTAGCTTTTTTTTTACTTTAATAAATAAATGAGAGTATATTTTAAAAGAACTATCAAACACATTCTACATTAAACATCGAATAAACGACCTATTTCCATACCAGAAATATTATATAGCAATAATTCTACACAATCTTTCATGTTCGTCCTAATCGTACACTTTTTAATTATATGAACCTAATTGCACACATTTTAAGTATATGAACATATTTACCTCCATTTTCAAAGATCAAAACCCAAAACCACATAGACAAAAGTTTAGTTTGGTTGTACTGATTTAGAATCTAAACTGATATCAAACAAATTGATATCGAACTGAAATTAAAACCTGACATAATATTCAAATAGAACATGACCCAACATCCTACTAAAGAGTTAGATCGAGTACTATTTGATATCATGTTGAATCGGGTTTTAATTTTAATTTGATATTAACTAGTTTCATCGGTTTAACTGATTTGATATCGATTTAGATTTTAAACTAGTAAAATCGAACTAACCCTTCACATGTGTGGTTTCGGGTTTGATCTTCAAAAATAGGGTAAATAGGTTTATATACTTAAGATGTGTGCAACTAGAACAATCATAAAAGATTATGTAAAATTGTTAATATATAATATTTTTTTGTGGAAATAAGTCGTTTATCCCTAATCATAAGACCATCTACTCAAATACAATTTGGGGGGAGGGGTATATACAGTTTACCCCTAATCATAAGACCATCTACTCGAATACAATTTGGGGGGGAGGGGTATATCAAGTACTTACCTATGTTCTCAGCTGACGAATGTTTTCACCACAACCTACATGAGTTTCGAAACCAACCAGTTTGTTATTGAGTTTTACCATAGAGATTTAAAGTTTCATACATACGCCTCAACATCAATGTTACTTTTATACTCATGTGTCCTATATTTGACGAACATATAGTAAAATATCTTAACATACGTGGTAACCTATATGTTTTAAAAATGTTATTTAAATAGAAAGTGAAATAAACATAATACATTTCCAGTTTGCATAACAAACAAAAAATCTCATATTTAAGTTGCTCTTAATTTTAGCAATGATTTGTTTTTTTGTATAACTGTTTTGATATTTTTGTACATGGTTATTATTTTTAACAGTGAATATTACTTTTTTGGGCAAAAACAGTTAATATTATTTGTTTATTAAATGTTTGTTATTTCTAAATGGATATTAATTCAATGAATATAGAAAATAATATCCTAGAAATAGTTAATGTGCATCTATATTTGATGTAAATTTTCTCATCTAAATTCATAATATTTAGCTTTTCTTTTTCTTAATTCATGAGTTTCAAACCTGGGTAGCAAACAATATCTTCTAATACACAGTTTATTAATGATTTACATATCTACCAAAATACTAGTACAAGCATAATAAACCATTTTATGATACAATACTGAGAAAACACAATATAAGGACACTACCAATATTTTTTGACCTTAAAGGCTTTTTTTTTTAACTTGGGTAACAATCTCATTTTCGTTTAAAAATAGAAAATATATAATATATGCTTCCAAATTTATTTCACCAAATCTATTCATTAATAAAATTGGATCCGCGAATTAGCCGACTTACAAAGCCATGCCAACGATTTTTTGTTTCATGTTATTAAACCTAGATTTTGACCCTGCCCAGTTATCAACGTATTAGACTTTTTCTTTTGTGTTAGAGTAGTGGAGAGGCTTTTTTTAACGCGTAAAATTTTTTGATAACACATATTTTTGGTTGTTAATTAAATATAAATATAAATATTTGATTTTTTATAGTTTTAAAGTTATCTAAAATATTAAAACTAAGTGGAGAACTAATACTTATACAAAAAGGATAGTTAGGTAAACAATTATTACATTAAAATTCTAAAAATATTAATTCTTTAAAATTAAATTATATGAGGGTGAGTTCATAACTTTTAAAATCATTTTCAACATCTATGAATATTTTAAAAACGTATACAATCAACAAAACTATAACTGTATTAAACAATCAAATATTAAATACATAATCTTATAAGTAAGAATTTGTTTTTAAACTATCTACCAAAATATCTGATACAAGCATAATGAACTATTTGTATGATACAATGTTGAGAAAACACAATATATGGACACTATCTAAACTCTTAGACCTTTATATTATTTATTTTATCTTTTAACTTGGGGACAATCTCAATTTCGTTTAAAAACAGAATCGGAATGTAGAAAATATATAATATATGTTTCCATATTTATCTCACCAAATTTGTTCATCAATAAAATTGGATCCGCGAATTCGCGGACAATTACAAAGCCATTCCAATGATTTTTGTGTTTCATATTTTCAAACCTAGATTTTGACACTCTAAACCCAGTTATTAGCATATTTTTCTTTTTCTTTTGTGTCAGAATAGTGAAGAGGCTTTTTGTTAAAACATAACATTTTTTATGTAAATTAAATGTATAAGTAAATATTTGATCTTTCTATAGTTCGAAGTCTTATAAAATATTAAAACTAAGTGAAGAACTAATATTTTTACAAAAATGCATGATAGGTAAATTAAACAATTATTACATTAAAAATTATAAAAATATTAATTCCTTAAAAATAATTTATATGAGGATAAATTCAAAACTTTAAAATTCATTTTCATCCTATATGAATATTTTAAAAACATAAACAATCAACAAAGTATAAGTGTATTAGACAATCAAATATTAAATACATAATCTTATAAGTAACAATTTTTTTTTTAATTATATCTTTTAAAAAATATCGCGCTTTCAGTGCAGGAATCAAAATCTTGTTTTGATTATAACAAAAATTATACCTTGTCATGTGCATCTGCGTGGTGTTTGCTTCATTTTTATGGATAGAATTTAAAATCGGTTATCCTTTTAAGAAAATTCATAAGAATTACACATATTGATATTCAAGCATCCAAAATAACATTGTATGTAATTGATCTCTCATTTTATAGCACTTTTGGTTGTCTCAATGAGTATTTATTTAATTTAAAATTGTAAAATACTTATATGAAAAATTCTAGTAAGAAGATCGGTAATCGAATATATTAAAGAAATTAAAATATTTTAATCATCAGTTGATAAATTAAATTTTAATTAATTTTACTTTAACAGTTTTTGTTTATATAGTATTTATTTTTAAATATTTCACTAACTTAATATATAATGTATGTATCTTTAAATATAAAGTAAATAAAATTATTTTGCTATATTTATCATTTGATTGAATTTATTTAACTATATATATATATATATATATATATATATATATATATATATATATAATTTGTTAAATATATTCTCTGGATAAACATAACCAAATTGTAGATATGTTTGTGTTAATATTTTTATTATGATTTTCTATATTTGTTTATATATTTTTTAAATATCAGTTGACATATATATATATATTATTAAATTTTCAAATTTTATATTTGAATATATCGAGATTTTAAGATGACACCGCAGTATATCGAGCCCCAATATTTTTACATTCGGCTTAAATATTTATAATATTTTCAATAATATAACTTTTAATACTGTTTATTAGTAATGTATATGTCATAGAAAAAAATCGTATCCTTCAATTTTTATAAATAGTTGGTTCAGTCTCTTATGTTTATTGATTTGTTATGTGTTGCACATATGGTATTGAACATATGTTTCGGACATGATGATATCACCAGTTAAAATGATATAAATTATTGACCTAATATGATATATTAAGAATATGTAGTTTGGATATAAAGCACCCGAACTGGTTCTAATAGTAAGATTATTTCGAATAAAAATATTCAGTTAAGATATGTTTGTGTAGTTTAGATATTAAGTATCCGAACTGAATTTGGTAGTTGAGTATTTCGAATAAAAATATTCTAACTCGCCTCGGATAGAATCATTATCCAATTTTTTTTTCTTTAGAGTCTTACATTGTTGCCGAAACAACTTATCACAAGGAACAAAAAACGAACAGGAAATGAGAGAAACAAAGACTTTACAGCAAAAGTTAACGAAAGGGATCAACAAACCAAAAATACAACTCAAGCAACGAATGAGCTTGAGAA